ATGGCTTTTGCTATTCTAGGTCTCTTATGGTTCCAAATGAATTTTTGGATTCTTCTTTTTAGTTCTATGAAATATAGTGTTGGAATTTCAATTGGTATTGCATTGAATCTGTATAGCAGTTTTGGTAGTATGGCCATTTTCACTATGTTGATTCTTCCTACCCAGGAGCAGGGGATATCTTTCCATTTTCTTATATCTTCTTCAATTTCTTTTTTCAGAGTGCTGTAGTTTTCAGTGTAGAGGTCTTTTGCTTCTTTTGTTAGATTGATTCCCAGATACTTCATTTTTTGGGGTGTTATTGTGAAAGGAATTGTTTCCCTAATTTCTTGTTCAGTGAGTCTGTTATTTGTGTATAAGAAGCCTACTGATTTTTGGGTGTTGAACTTGTATTCAGCTCCTCTAGCAGAGATTTTTGAAAGAGACTGAGTTGGGTCCTTCTTTCACCAAGTTGTTGTATGACCACCTATCTCAGCTTTCAAAAGAGTTCCAGCATTACTTTCCAACCACAAAAGTTTACTGAACAGGGAGAGAATGGGCCTATGATCCATTTGTGAGTAAGCCAGACATATTGCCTTTTCTGTGCTAGAAGACCATCAACTGTTTGAAACCGCAAATGATGGTGGCCTTAAAAGTACGTTTGAGATGGCTTTAATTCTTTCTGCCCCCAACTCCCAGATTTATGGAAAAATTGTCTTCCACAGAACCAGTACCTGGCACCAGAAAGATCAGGGACTGATGATCTTGCAGATGACTTGTCTTAGAGTGCTGCCCACGATAGACATCACATGCTACATGGTGCAGTGGCAGATATTGTTTGCTAGAATATTGATGACATATTTTCTCAAATTCCTACCTCTCTGCTATAAAAGTTTAATTCTATTTGCCAATATTTGTGGCAGCTGGTATAGTCTTCTGACATAGTTTTGGTCAATAAGACATAAACAGACTTCTGTCTTTGTCTCTGTGTCTCCCCCACCCATGGTGCGGCATCACTGGAGGGCATTCTGGTAGGGCCTTTTCATTTCATAGAAGGGACAGATGTAGCAGGAGAGTTTGCTTGCCTTGATCCTTTTCCAGTCTTTCTGCTTTGAATGTGGAGACCATGATGTGTAGCTCTGCAATGGCTATCCTGCAACCAAAAGACAAGATTGAGGATAAAAATCAGCAGCTAAAAACGGGGGGGGGATAAGGAGATTGGAAGCCTGAATCACCAGTGCTCACAATGAACAGCTGAGCTAATGCCTGAGACTACCTACTCTACCTCTGGACTATTGTTATAGGAGAAAAAAAATAGACCCCCATTGATTTAGGCCACCATCAATTTGACCTTCTGGTAATTATGCTGACATTTTTTTCTCACTCAGTGCCAGGCCACGCTAAAGTGCTCCTTCATAGCGTTGTAACATATACCACAATGGAGAAGAGAATGTTTGAGGGAAAGGAGGAAATGAGAAAAGAAGAAACCACAAACTTACGTGCAGAAGGTATAAGATTAGAACAGTAAGAAAAAAAAAACACAAAAATGCAAAAAACAAACAAACAAAAAAACAACCCTGGTTGATGGGGAGAATGAGAACATGCTGAGATCTTACAGCTACAGCAGCAGCCAGGGCTTGGCGGGAGTGCTATGGACCCTGAACTGTGCTCTGTGGGCACTAGCTCCTTGTTGAGTCTTTCCTGGGCTAATTCTCCAGAACATCTTTACAATATCCCTTGTCACTAAAGGCAATCAGAGTGTCTCTATTTCATGCAACTAAGAGAGCTCAACGTACATAGTTTCTAGTCTTGAGTCTCAAAAAAAAAATGTTGCTATCATATTCTCTGAGAAAGTATTTCTCAACATCACACTGGGCTAATAAAGCTATTTGAAAAAGGAAGTAACCAACCTAAAGAAGCACACAGTATGTGCTCGGTGCCCATCATTTCCTCTTTCATGTCTCTTCCCCTGCAGTCTGTGCACTGGAAAGAGAACTCACCACTCTCATGCCTTGTGCCCTCTTACTGATTGTGGACACCCAGTGACCTCCTACTTCGAGAATATCTAGCACTGTCCTGATTCACAAGGCTTCGACTTACTGCCTCTCTCCACTCTGATCTTTTATCAACATTTAGGTAAAATGGGTCTATATCCTGTAGGCAGATCCTCTTAGATGGCTCTGGGTAGTGATAGTTAAATAAGTGAACTTATTGACATCAGGATTTAATAATCACTTTGGGCTCAGCACTCCAAGTATATATTTGGGCATTATAACAGTTTTGAACTAGCAAAAACAATTAGCAAACAATGTCAACTAAGAAATAATAACTGGTAAAACAATGAACTTCCAATAGTGTCTTTAGTGGTTTTGACAGGGAGTAGAAAATAAAATATCTTGCCTTGCACAAAGGGGTCTTTTAAACGGTGCTTTTCAAATATTATTTGTTTATAGTAAATAATTGTGCCTGCTTCCTTTTCTCACAATTCTTATTCCAGAGGCCATGCAGTGCACACCAGATGTCATCCTACATGTGCTGGTGTGGGCTGCAGGCAAGGACACCCCCCAAACTGAATCTGTGCATTTATATCTGACAAAGAGGTATTCACTCCCTCTGAGATCTGAAGAGAAATCTATTGTTCCCCAGTATAAACAATTTCTCCATGGGAACACAAAGAAGGATTCGGGTGTTTTTATCTTTTGGAATTAAAATAAAGTTCTCCACAGGATAGCTAAAACCAAAACCTCTCCTTTATATCCGGGAGAGGCCACATGACCCTGGGGGTCCGCTCCTTCCTGATGTGAACAGACACTTTCAGGAAGAAAGTTCTCTAGAAGGCTCATCAGCTAATCACTCTTAAATTAAATTCTAAGCTTGCTTGCTTAGCTCAGATCCCAAGTCTCAGTAAAATCTTCTCAAAAACCTTAATGATGTAAAAATGTAAGAATATTTTTTCTCTATTCCATGGTGAGTCTCAGGCTCACCTCTCAGTGGTGTCACATGCTGCTTGACTTATGGTTACCTTCTTGCTTTTGTTTTTTAAAAATCTTTATTAAGTTTATTGGTACAGTATAGGCATACAATACAGTTACATTCATCATTGGGATCTTGTACCTTTACAAGACTTATCTTGGTTCTTATTTTTCCTCATTCCCCAGACCTCCCTTCCCTGTTTACAAAGACATTGTTTCTATGTTTTTCCTTTTTACATATTTTTTTCTTTTTTGCTTTTTCCCTTTCCCCTATCCCTCCCACTTCCTCTATTCTTTTAGACCTTTTTTCCCCATTATACAATATCAATTATACATATTGATCCTTATTTACACTCTTAGTTTCTCACACCAGAGAAACACATCCCTGCAGAAAAGATGTGGGCCTCCATCACTTTGGGTAGGTTTGAGAGAGCCACAGAGAGAGCCACAGACATATTTACTAGGCAGAACCAAAGGAGTACACACTCAGAAAATGTGTGGGTGTTAGAAGGGAGAGAGCGCACTGTGGTTTGGAGTATTTATGTGGTCTTGGTGTTATGTGGTCACCTGAAGACAGATGGATCTACGATGTTTGTTCTCTGAGTTGTTTATCTTTTAGGTAGTGTTTTTCAGGTTATTCTTTCGTGGGTTAAACCAAAAACTGACCTTATCAACTTGACTACAAAGAAACCGTCTGCATGTGTTGTGATTTAGAGATATACATAATTAATAGTGCTGTTACTTTGAGGATGACAATCTTTGGCATTTATGGGTGTATAGTATCCGAAGAAAAACACAGGCCCACTTTATGGATTTAGTGTATATTTAAGACTTTTAGGAGTTTAGGGGGAAGGAGCATGAACAGGAAACAAGAACAGAAACAACAGGACTAGGGGTGAAGAGGGCTTTGTGAACTTGGGTAACTTTGTTAATGTCTTGAAGCTGTCATTTTCTCAAAATTACAATTTTAAAATTACAATTTTCCTCTTCTTTCTACTTGCCTGTAGTTCCTCTATCATATCTCAATACTTCTCCCCAATTCCTTGTCTTCATAAAATTAGCTATACAAATTCACAGGTTTCCCTTTTTCTTTGGATCTATATTTTCTTATGAAAGCTCCCATGTCATTTAAATTTTATGCTAAATAAATTTTTATGCTTTTATTTTATTAATCTCTTTTTTTTAAATAAATTCCTTAGGCATGAACCTGAGAATGGGTAAGAAAATTTATAATCAGTACCTTGATCAAAGAATGTACGTATATGTAGACCTTTCAAAGAGAATTAAAATAAGCTAAATTTGTGTGAGCAAAGAATTTATGCTTGAATTTTGGACTAGAAATGAAAAAGTAATCTCTTACTACTCCAAATGATGTTGAGAACAGTTTTATCTACATATGGGACCTTGTCATCTGGAAGTATATGTTAATTTTGTCACAGAAATAGTTGCGGGTTAGGAGTGAGAGAGACAGTCTTTTCTTTAGCTTTCTAGATATTTTTTGAGAGAGGCAGTGGGGTGCTGTGATCAAGCAGGAAGTCCCTGAAGCTGGACCACTGGGACTTAGTAGCCCTTAACCGTCGATTAGTCATGTGATCTTGGGCACATCACAAGGTGCCGGTTAAGTTTCATTGTTTCAATGTGATTGGCTTGGGGAAGCTGCCCAGGGAATTAATAAAGCACACTTTTGCGTTTATGTGTGGGTAGAAAATGGAGGATCGGCCTTGGGATGTATATCTGGGCCCTGCCTACTTGCTCTGTGCTCTTCTCCCCATGCTCTGCTTTCAGCCATCTCAAGTTGAGTAGCAGTCCTCAACCATGCTTTTCTGCCATGATGTTTCGTGCTTTGAAATAAAACCCATGTACTGAAACCCCTGAAACTGTAAGTAAACTTCTCCTTGATTTTGGGAGTCAGGTAGTTTTTCCCAGCAATGGGAAAGCTGACTTCTGTTACTTGTAAAGTGCAGATAGGAAAATAGATCCCACATAGGATACTTGTGAAGGTTAAATGAGATAATTGTGAAAAATGCTTAGTCTTTTCCCTGACAAATAAGTAAATATTAGCTGTGTGTCATTAGTAGCTAGAGTCCTCCTCACCCCTTCCCTCCAAGAGCTTCATCAGAGAGAGAGAAAGAGAGAGAGAGAGAGAGAGAGAGAGAGAGAGAGAAATTTATAAACTAAAAAGTGTCATATTGCTTTATCTTATAGTAGAAGTGTATAGCAGGTCTACAGAAGGAAAATATCATTCTATTTCAAGGGGTGGGAAGTGGTCAGGAAATTTTTTATAATAACTTTGAGCTTAATCTTAAAATCAGTTTTTACGTGAGTTCTTAGTTCAAATAGTTCTAGAGGAAGAGATTTTAAGCTGTATATTTTCCCTGTATACTAGTAATCAGTAACTCTAGTTTTGAAAAACAAGCTTACTTCTCTGACTTATTGCAAGTGATAAATCACCATTTGTTTGTGAGTTCCCTATTTTGCCTTTCATAACTTCCATACTTGCCCATCCTATGAATTTTGTGCCTCCACTCCATTACTTAGTTATCAATTTCTGGTTTAAATTGATCAATAGACTAGTAGAAGTCTATATTAGAAGAGCTTGCTTATTGAAAATCAAGACATGTCGATCTGGGTATAGTGACACATGGCTGTTGTCCCAACTACACAGGAGGCTGAAGCAGGAAGTTAAGCTCAGGAGTTAGAGGCCAGTCTAGGCAACACAGCAAGACCGTGTCTCAAAAACAAACAAACAAACAAACAAACAAACAACTCCAGATAGAAAGAAAGAAACAAGGAAAAAAACTAACAGACACACAGATTGAAAATGAAACCAATACTTTCTTTTAGGCCAAAAGAGGGAGAAACAATTTAACTGAGACTTAGGTGAGGACATAAGTGTTAAAAAAAAAAAAAAACCCACATTGAAAGAAGAGTAATAGGA